CACACACACACACACACACACACACACACACACACACATACACACACAGAGAGAGCTGCTATTTCCACTGACTTGTTTGAACAACTTTTCCTTACCTGTCTTGTCCCAAACAGCGCACGGCAGCTGGACATTTATTGATGACGAATCGTCTGGACATCAGACGTGATCGCTCAAAAAAATAATAGTCTCGTTAGATCTACGTTAAAACAACGAGTATCTAAGTGAACCAAGATACTGAACTCACCATCTCCCTTTAATCCAGTGGTCCTTCAGTGTTTGGAGAGCGCATTTTGGCCGCTAGGTGATCGATGAAGAAATCGTCACAATCGGATCTGTTGACAAAGGAATCAAAAGGCCTAGAATTAGTATTAGTCTTAGTATGCGTTTTACGGCGTGGCAAAACATATAGGTTATGTAAGTGCCCAAGATTAGAGGTGTTACTTAGAAATTAATATAAAAGAAAATAAGGAATAGAGATGTTAAAATAAGAAGTAGCAAACCATGTCAAAGCACCCACCAACAACCCACTCAAAATGTTTGACTTGTTTATGGGTAAATCTGTTATCGAGATAGGATGAGGCTGACAGAGACGGAGAATATAGCCCAGGACCGAAGTATATGGAGAGCTCTTGTTGGATGCCTAAACTCCAGCACGGGCTGAGAAAAACTGACGGTGATAATTAATTGTGATATTAAGTTAGGTTTTAAAATGTTAATAAAGCAATAAATGGAATTGATTGACTCCTACATGAAGCCGGGAGGGAAATCCTCAAGCTGCACGCACCCACGACTGCTCAAAACGTGACGAACTCCTTCCTACCAAAATAGGTCTCACTGGTTATAGCAAATGCCACAAGTATCTCAATATTTCTTCGATTTCGCTTTAAAACAGTACATAAAGCATTCTGTGCAAATACATTGGTTATCGCCAGACACTGATGGACAAGTTATTTTTATTATCATTTGTAATGGTTTCACAAGGTCGGGTCCTTTGGTTCGAAGGGGAGTAGGTTTGACCCACAAGTTTTATTCACATTGAGAATAAAATGTTCAACGTGTAGGAAAACGTCTGGGAACTCCTGTTAATTAAAACATTGGATTACAAGACGCAAACTTTAGGTGGAGATAGGCAGAAAGCCCGATAGAGTGGAAACAAGGATTGAAAACTTGGAGGCAGTGAAGGAGAGATTGAGTAGCTGGGGGGTAGAGTGGAAAGGGGGGGGGGAGAGAGAGAGGGAGAGGGAGAGAGAGAAAGAGAGAGAGAGAGAGAGAGAGAGAGAGAGAGAGAGAGAGAGAGAGAGAGAGAGAGAGAGAGATGGGGTCTAAAAACAAATGAAATAAAAGTGAAAGGGGTGAGAGACAATTATGAAAAGATACGTGACACAATCTATAAACGCAAAAAACATGACTCAACACAAAAGATAGCGTTAATGCACTCCTACAAAATATATTGACACATTTCTTAGACCAGGACGCCCCCCCCCCCCCCCCCCCATCCCCCTTTGTTCAAAGTTACGCTTAAACAATAAATATTGCAAAAACATCAAAAGAATCTGAGCAGACCGAAGTCCAAAAGCCACGGGTCATCATTTTTTTCCGAACGACTTGGTCTATCGCACTTTTATTGCCCATTAACAAACCTACGCTTTCAGCCCTTTGTTCTGTTAGAGGTTTCGAATGGCGTTTGCCAGGTGCAAATCACGCGGCGTGGGGGTGAATAAAAAGAGAGAGTGATTGCAGAAAAACTCACAGGTGTGAGGTAACAAATGGACCCTAATTGCTCAGGGTGTGTGGCAGTCATGAACACGGCATCACCCGGGGAGAGGGCAACAAGACAACGTTTGGTTCTTTTTTGTATTAGCCCACCAGGTCACGCCCGCGAGGTCAGTTCGTCTGGCCCACCACCATGCCACCATGCGGGGAAAAATCAGACTTGGAAGATGAGTTTGTAACGTCGGGCCTATAACGAGTTGGGATCTATGATCTATCGGTTACGAATCCGACAGTCTAATACGTAGTAGACCAGGGATGCCAAACGCAATCGAACGAAGGGACAAACTCAAAAAAAACTTCAGGTTCAGGGCCGAACTTGATCAACATACATAGTGCAAGGGAAAACTAAACATTAAAAAAAAATAGTGATAAGAATTACAAAACTGCAAAACTTAAAATAATAACTAATCAAGGCATACCAATTTTCGCTCTTATGCCAATTAGTCAGAGCTGGTTGTTTGGCATCGTTTCTAGACAAGTTCGTTTATGTTTGGCTGTAGTAACGATTTCTGTAATGGAGATTCTCAGCATGGACTACCTAAAATTCTCTCGCAGGCCGGACTCAATTGCTTGCCGGGCCGGAAACAGCCTGCGGGCCTTCAGTTGTTTTTTTAGTTTAAGTTAGAATTTTACGGCACTTGCAACACAAAAAGGTCATAAGTGCCGAAGATTAGAGGTATTACAAGAGAGTAACAAACACAAAAAAAGAAGGAGGGGAAATAAAGACGATAGATGTTTGATAGGAAAGATGAAGCAAACCACACCAGAGCACCCGCCAACCACCCACCGGCCTTCAGTTTGACACCTGTGCTCTACATGTAGAACCCACAACGCCACCGATGGAATGAGTCGTTTGTTTGTTTATTTAAGCAAAAGAAGCACATCGACACAATAATGGCCATTTAATCCTGGGGGAAAAGTAAGACAGACAGACAGAAACAACAGAGGGAAAGTAAAGAAGTAGGAAATACCAATTGCACCCTCCAGCCACCCACTCGCCGGAGGTGTGTCGTGACCAGAGTGAGTCAGAGGTCAGGGGACACAATCAACAAATGAGACGTGGGTCCTCAGCTCAGCAAAACGCTAAGAACAAAGAGGTTCTCAGTCTCAGTAACCCAGCCCTAAGCACCAACAACGCAGGACCACGAAACACAAGAGAGACAGATGTGTCCTGGACATCGGAGACGACGCAGTGGAAATCTCCTCAGCTTGTGTACTGGGTGACACGTCTAGACACGTCTAACCATCCCTTCTTGGTGTAAACACTGATCTGTAATGCTGTATTTTAAAGCAAGGGAAACAAAAGGGGAGCGGCGAAATTTATGGACGGTTGACGGGGATACCCTTAAGTCAAGAAAATAAACCTAAAACATAACTTCTTTCCGTTAATCAGAGGGAAAAAAAAACCTTTGTCCGTTTTCAGTGGGATTTCTTTGTTCGTGCATTAGAGAAACGCAAACTGTCACAACAATAAATGTGTAAAAGTGGGACAGAGAGAGCGAGAGAGAGAGAGAGAGCGAGAGAGGGAGAGGGAGAGGGAGAGGGAGAGAGAGAG